TTATCCAGCCTAAGCTCTGCAAATGTACTTTGTGAAAGCCATGGGCACGGTCGCTTGCCACTCGCATCAACACACTCATCAAGCATGTGTTGTTTTGCAAGTGCTTTTTAACGCACAAGATGTCCAACAGAGAGCACATCCCTTCAAAATACAAAATGCCAGGAAGGATAACCTTCAGCACAAAAGAAAAAAAAAATACTGGCTTCTGGACAAGGCGGCTGATGTACGTCAAAGGGACACAGAAAGGTGACTGTCCTATTCAGTCACCTTTGCCAAACTGTCCGTAATGTAAGACCAGCCCAGGAGACTGATGTCCAGAATTCAGCAGTAAGAGTAGCTGCCAGCCATGCAGCAGTGCTCATACCTTTTAATATCTCTTTCATATCGCTCTGCACCAAAACACAAATTACACAATAGCTCAGCTGTATAACAAACATTTGGCATTAGCATTCATGAGATGAGAAACAGCCCAAACACTTTCAGTTGGTGGAAATGAAAGATGAAATCAATATGGAACTGAAAATTCAACTAACAGTCAACTGAGGTGCAGAGCTGGGTAAGTGTTCGTGCACATTTCTGGCATGAGGTGATACTATTTTAAAAACACTGCTTCCTTTCAATGGGGAAACATCTACTTCTTGCTCAATTTTTTTTCCAGGGGGGGTGTCAATTGTATAACCTTTTAAAAGCATCAAAAAGTGATGAATGCAATTGCACAGAGTCCATTCCTTCCAGAATGGGCGTGGAAGGAAATCCCTGGCACCCCAGAGGGAAAATGGGCTGACCTGGCATCTCTGTCCAGAAAGCATTGAGCAAAACTAGCAAAGGGAGAAGGGACAAGGAGGGCGCAAAGAGAAATCTCCTTAGGTTCCTACAAGATGAAGGCTGAATCTACGATTTATCCAGATATCTTCTTTTGACTGTTTTTTTTTAACCTCTTACTATCAACATTTGGTGTTTTTCAACACCTGAGCCTTGCAAATCAGTTCTGTAGCAACACTAATGACCTTAAAATATTTCCAGAACAGAATTTAGCAACATTCTTAAAGGTTTCAATGGTGATGTATGCTAGTAAAACCTGTAAAGCCTCACGCTTGGTCCAGCCCCTATAAGGAGCTGATCACTAGTCCTGGTACAATAGGCAGTGCAATAGGAGGATGTGAGCTAAAGTTGTGAGGTCTACATCTGGGCATATGCAGTGTTGGTCTAGACAAGAAATGCTGTTAGACTACCTTTCCACCAGCTTTGAGAGTAGGGCATTGAACCTTGCTAGTGTAATTTTTTTTCGATTTGAAGGGAAAATTAGCTTTGAAAAGTAGTTTGGAATAGCAAAGGAGTTGTGTTAGAAGTTCCATGAGGCATAATTTAGAACTGTTAGAAATTTAGTCTTAGAGCTGTCAGCTTGTAGATCAAAATCTACAGCACATTGTTTAACCTGTGATAGCTTTCTCCAGTTCCACCATTGTTAGCACTTGAATTGAGGCTGCAAGGGGGAAAAAAAGGTTTTCTTCTATGAAAAATTAAATGTATATATGAATTGGGCCAACGAATTACTCCCAAAATTTAACTTCAGCCAATATTTGAAGTGAGATATTCTTATGGAGGTAGCTACAGAAGGAGATCCTGATTTGAATCTCAGTATGATATTTGGGATAAATCGAGAGGTATGGAGAATGATGCTCATCAGAGACTTAACTGCTTCTAAAGTTTGTGTCTTTGTGAGACCAGAGTTGTGCATCACAAACCAGCAATGATATCACCTTAGCTTTGAACAGTTTGACTGTTGCCAGGACCAAATTGTTGCCTTTGCAGCTTTCATATTTAAGTTCATTTGTGGCCCTCTGTCTGTGGGATGAAATTTCATGAGTCTGTTGGTTCCATGTAGAGGATGAATGTTAGATAATACTTAAGTACTTTGTTCTATTTGAGTGCCATTAATGTTTTTTTGTAAATAGAACCACCTTTGGTTTTGCGTAGTTAATTATATGTTTTTCTTGGTGGCAAAAATTAGCTAGCGTTTGGAGCCTCTTCCAAAAGCCAACCTGAGACAACAGTAGCATCATTGACATATAGAGATAAGTATGGGAACAAGTCCAGGAAATAAACCCACTACTTAATAAAGCTTATATAATATTTTAAAACAAAATTTGAATGGTAAAGGAGCAATAATACAATCCTGCTTTAACGCCCACTATGATAGGAATAGGATCAGTGAAGACATTGTTAGCATCTAGCATTTTCTTGCATATTCTTGATCAATTTATCATGTTCAATTGGACTAAGTGACAGTAAATCAAGGTCGCTGCTAACTCTGTCTATTGCCTTTCTCTTGGGATTATGTCAAATGCTGCCTTCAAATCAATCAAGGTAGTACAGAGTAAACCTCATCATGGGTAGAGTATTTTCAGCAAGATGGTGCAGAACGTTGTATTGATTGAAGATTGAAAGCACAGGTCTAAACCTGGCTTGCTCAATTGCTAGGATCTTCTCCTGAATTAGAAAATTGAGAAGTTGTTGTATAGGTTTAGGTATATAGTTTACTAACTGTACTTAGGCTTAATGGATGGCAATACATTGGATTGGCCTTGTTGTCTTTTAAAAGATGCAGTGTTATGGAAGGACTGCAATTCGGAGTTGCACCAAGGTCACAGCTACCACTAATAACGTCTTTCACAATAAAAGGTGAATAGGGGCAATAACTGTGGGGTCAAAAAGCTTTAGAATTAACCTAGAGAAAATGACGGACAAAATCCAGGATGGAATCAGCAGGGAACAGAGGCAAGTCAGTCCTTTGACATAGCACTTTACTAGTGAGGGAGGTACCACATGATCAAGAATAAAAGGAGAGATTCCTGATGAACTTGATATTTCAGGAGAACTGATGCATTAATTTTTTTTTGCAAAGAACTCACACATTTCCACCATTTAACTTCATGAGAAGCCATTGTGGATGGTTTCTGAAAAGCCACGAGGCCCTTTTCTTTCTCAGGCAGAATGGCAGAATGGAATTCTCCAGCCTGTAAGATGGAGGGTTTTGTGATCCAAGATGCTACATCTGTCTATAATGGGAGGAGAGAAGATTGGGAATTGCTTAACAAGGCTTAACAAGACACAATGGAGAAGTGAACCATGGCTATCAAGGTCATCATGGTGTGATGAGGATATAATTGGCTGAATCCTTTTTGATCTTTGCAAGGTCTCTGATCAGAAAGGGAATTAGTAAAAAGATACTGTAAATTTCTGTTTCACAAGCATCATGTTATACTGAATTTATCCTGGACCTGCTGCTGAGGTGAAGACACTAAGATGTGTGTGTGTGTGTGTGTGTGTGTGTGAGGAATCCGATTTGAAGAAACCCAGTGACATTTGATTAGAGCCATAGCTGAAGAATGCAGTCAGCAAGAGCATGAACATTTTTTAGACACAGGGATTACTAGGTTAATATGGAATGTGAGGTCTATTAGTGCCATATCTGCAATTTAAGATATAAATCCAAGTATGTACCACTGGTTAATAGCACAAAAAACATTGTTTAATATAATCTAGACACTTTGCCTCAAAAACTTTGATTGCCTCCCAAAATTCCAGAAACTTCAGCTTACTGAGATGCTGCAATGACTCAAGTATGGACCAAAAGTGCCAAATGAAAAAAGATCAGCCAGACATAGCTGTGTTACTGATGAGTTGTGTTAGGGACTAAGGCCTGAAGAATTCACCTTCAGTGAAATTGTCTGTAACCAGCTACCAGTGAAGAAGCTCCTTGATGCAAGGAATGACTGATGGAATTTTCTCATATTTGAACCTAGAGGATCAGTGTGAAGAACCATGCCTGTAAGAGGTGTAATTGAAGATGGGCAAAGTTGGGGCTACCATGCAGCCCAACAGTTACTTCTGCTGGGGGCATCTTGTGCATGAGAGCCTGTAGCATAGAGTGTGTATTGGAAAGAAGGTAGCTCCCTTTGTGACTCTGACTACTGCCCCGATAATGGGGTAACTCATGCAGGAAGAACTGAAGACTTTTCATTACTGACCCAGAAGTCCAGATCTTATGAGAAAGACCTGAGATATGTGGCAAGAAAGCTCAGAACAGGAAGGAACATCTATGCCTTGGAGATGAAAGAGCATGATAACAGATGCTATGCATTACAAAAACTCCAGAGGCCATGGCAGGACCAAATGATAAAACACAAAATTGGTATATGGAGCTATTTACTTTAGAGTGAATAAAAGGGTGATGATAGGGCAACTATGGATATTTGACATTAGGCACCCTGCAAATCAATAGATAAAAACCATATCTCTTGCTGCAGGAGAGGAAGAATAGTAGTGACTGAGATCATCCTGAAGGTTTCAAGAAAGTTAAGAGAAAAATCCAATATAGGTCTATTGAATGCTCTTCCACAGGGCAAAGAAGTCCTAGATTATGCTCACGTGAGTGTGGTTTTTTGTTCTGTACAGTAACACTGGCACTTACGAAATGGAGCCTTTAAGGCTATAAGGTTGAGGCCAGACTGCTTGAAGGGAAAGGACAAGAATGCAACAAATCTTCAGCACGGAAAAGACAGAGAGAATTACAATAAAAATAAAATGAAATAGGTGAAAGCAGAAAAAATAATTATTCAAGGAATGATGGAGAGCTCAATGGATGAAAATGCTAATGCTGTGGTTGTCAAAAACAAACTGAAAGGGTTTAGTATGAACTGTACCTAGCTGTATGTGGCAGACACAGAGGGCTCCCGCAATAAATTGTGTAAGCAGGACATAACAAGAAATGGACATCCTATGGTCACCTCCACTGATGCAGCCATTCCGAGAATGGACGCCCCTTCTGAGGCAGACTAACAAGGTTAAGGACTACAATATTTTTCTCCCTTTCTGTCTGGATTTTTAGTCATTCATGTTTCCTTTAAAAAACGCTTTAGTTATATTTATGAGCTTGCAAAAATATTTCAGAGAAAGATTTTGTAATGTCCGACATAAACTCATGATGCTTTCTGTATAACTAGTTTAGTTTAATGGTAGATGGAAAAAAGAAACAATTCAGAAACATTTTTTTTTACAACTTGTATCATGCAGGACAGTATTTGATACCAGAAACAGAAAGACATACAAATTAACATGCCCATCAGTTCTTATAGCTTAACAACACAGCAACAACTTAGCTAACCAGTTTAGGACCCAGTTTAGGATCAAAGACAAAAGACCCCACCACTTTTATTCTTAGATCTTACAGAACTGCAGTACTTCAAATTCCCAGTTCAAGAAAATATAAATAATAACACTCTTACTAATATGGGAAGTTTGGCAAAAGAAGGCTTTATAAACTGGCTCATCTCTTCCTTTCCCCTATCCAGCAGTTTGGGTTTTCCTTTCTTACCAGTTGCATTTAGCAAATAAGAAGCTAGTCCTTAAATCCACTTGGAAAAGCAAGTCCAACAGTTATCCTCCTATCCTTGAGAAGGAATACACAGGACTTCAACGTCAGTGTGGCTCCTCGTTTTCTCGGCAGCCTCCATACTTGACGAAACTCTTCCGCTGGTAAAGTAAGACTTGTGCTGCATCAGGCTTGTAGCGTGCAGTCTACCCAACTGAACACCTTTTACAGCTACATCTCACAGGATAGAAATTCAATGCATCCTTTTTATTGGTTTTAGGGCTGCGAAAAAAAGGGACCATCAAGCAAATGGCAAGTCACAAACTATGGCTGAGGTTATTTTTCACATAGCAGATAGCAGGTTGTGCAGGCTTACGCTGTGTTATTCACAGTCTGCTACTTTCTTTTTGGCTTTCGGCAATATGCATCAATACCAAGCACTTTCATTCAACCAATTCCATTCCTTATGCATTGTGCAGACCACTTAGTAGAAGGATGGGTTTATTGCAGTTTTTGTCCCATTCTGAAAGCCCTCAGTTTCACTTCCTCGGCCTTTCAGTTAAGCTTTGCCAGCTGAGTGTTTCTGGAGCATAGAGGTGATTAGTCTACAGTCTG